TAACAGGAAGTGTGTTGTGTTTTTGTGTTTGTAGCTAACAGGAAGTGTGTTGTGTGTTTGTGTGTGTAGCTAACAGGAAGTGTGTTGTGTTTTTGTGTTTGTAGCTAACAGGAAGTGTGTTGTGTGTTTAGCTGCAGCTAACAGGAAGTGTGTTGTGTGTTTGTGTGTGAAGCTAACAAATCAAATCAAAGTTTAATTATAAAACACATTTAAAAGCGATTTTTGGTCGGGCCAAAGTGCTGTACATGTAATAAATACTACAATCACATAAAAACACATTACTACAATCATAATAAAAGACAATAAATTACAACAGATATACAAAAAACACCGATAAAAGTCAGGAGTCGTGCTCCGCTCTGACTAGAAGGCCAGGGAGAAGAAGTGAGTCTTTAGCGTAGATTTAAAAACCCCTAGGGTCTGGGCCGACCTCACATGGAGGGGCAGAGTGTTCCAGAGCCTGGGGCCAGCAGCTGCAACGGCTCGGTGCCCTCGGGTCTAGAGCCTGGTCTTGGGCGCTACCAGCAGCAGCTGGTCAGCAGACCTTAAGGCTCTGGGGTGTAGCGCTGGAGGAGTTCAGCTACATAGGAGGAGCCAGCTCATTTAGGGCTTTGAAAACAAATAAAAGGATTTTAAAATCAGTTCTGAACCGAACTGGAAGCCAGTGCAGTGAGGCCAGAGCTGGGGTGATGTGGTCACGCTTTTTGTGGCCAGTGAGTAGACGTGCAGCTGGTCAATACCCACGTACAGAGCGTTACAGTAGTCCAACCTCGAGGTGACAAAGGCGTTAATAACTAGGGGTGCACCGAATTGGAAATTCTTGGCCGAAACCGATACGGAAAATAGGAAACAGTTGGCCGAAAACCGAATGCAGAAAGGCCGAAAATGATTAATAGAAATATATTTATATTGTAGTGCCGAGAGACGGGAGTCGGAGGCGGGGTATCGAAGGTACAAGCTAGACTTTTATTTAACATCAGGACAACATGTAAAACAGCTTTCAGC